GGTCCTTTTTCAACTTGAGATGCTGGGGATTGAACCTGGGACCTTCTGCATGCCAAGCAGAGGCTCTGCCACTGAGCCAGGGTCTCAGGTCAAGGTCTTTCTCATCACCTCCTGCCTGGTCTTTTTAACTTGAGATGCCGGGGATTGAACCTGGGACCTTCTGCATGCTGAGCAGATGTTCTCCCACTGAGCCAGGGTCTCAGGTCAAGGTCTTCCTCATCACCTCCTGCCTGGTCCTTTTAACTGGAGATGCCAGGGATTGAACTTGGGACCTTCTGCATGCCAAACAGAGGCTCTGCCACTGAGCCATGGCCCCTCCCCAGAGGGGGAGAGGCTAGAACCCTGGTTTTAGGTGATGCTACTCAGTGGTTGATGCAAGCGACACGCTGAAGTCTGGCAGTGAGCTGATAATCGTCTTGATGTTGCGGCACTCTGGTGGCCATCTCCAGCACTTCTGGAGACTTCTCCACTCAGTCATACATGAAGCTGCCTTCTACTGAATCAGGCCACGGATCCATCAGAGACAGTCTTGTCTACTCAGGCCGGCAGCGGCTCCTCCGGGTCTCAGGTTGCAGTCTTTCGCATCACCTCCTACCTAAAAATCTTGCTTGTGGGCTGGAATCTAGCCCTCCTGGCACAGAATCTCAGAGTATAAATAATATTATTGTCAACATGATGCTTGAAATTAATGTACGGTTACAGGTTTCCATCCTGCGTCGAGGATTACAACCAGGGCTCCACAAATGTTGTGGTCACAACCAGTGTTCCCTCTAAGCTAAGTTAGTGTGAACTAGCTCATAGTTTTGTAGCCTCCGGCTCACACATTTTTGTCTTTGCTCAGGAAGGACGGCTCCAGAGCAGACTGATTTATGCAGCAGCCAAATGGCTCGCTCGCAACTTTAACGCCAGCAGCTCCCAAAGCAGAATTTTTGCTCACAGGACTCCACAGTTTAGAGGGAACATCAGTCACAACTTGCCCCTTTCTTCCCCCGAGTGCTGTGTAGGAGCGGCATAATCCGTCTTATGCTTTCATGCGCTCCAGTGCTGACCTGTGGGATGAAGGGAGCGCATGGCTGCAGCCAGCAGCTTTGCGGAGGCCAGATCATGATTACTGGGGAGACGGAAGGGTCAGCACAGGATGCTTCCGGGTTCTCCCGAGGTAGGGGGAACCGTGAGGTAGGGGGGCAGGGTTTTTTAGCTATGGCCTGCTCTGCATTGGACTGTTGAAACTCCACTGAACTTAAAAGCTGCGTGCAAGCGGAACAGCGGTCTCGGTGCGCTCCTAGATGGGGAAACATGGTCCAGCCCCAATTGGGTACTGGGGGCAGATGGTGAGAGGGGGAAAGTATTACCACGCAGTGAAGAGTACAGGAGCTGAAATAGCCCCCCCGAGCCACCCCACCGGTTTACCATAGAAAAAATGAGCTCACCGAAGAAAACCACTCTTCGATACATTTAACGTACGGCGAGGCTTCTGATGGGCCTCCCCATGAGGGAGCACATCCGGCCTGTCCTGAAGGCTCCGCACTGGCTGCCGATTGCATACCGGATTTGCTTCAGGGTGCTGGTTCTTACCTCTAAAGCCCTTTACGTCCAGGGTCTGACATATCTGCGGGGCTGCCTTCCCCCATATATACCCCAGAGAGCACTTTGGTCAGGGTCACACAACACCGACTGGCCCTCCCGGGTCCCAAGGACGCCAGGCTGGCTGCAACCAGGGCCAGGGCTTCCTCGGTCGTGGTCCCACACTGGTGGAATGAGTTCTCAGACGAGATCAGGGCCCTGTGGGACCTTTTACAGTTCCTCAGGGCCTGCAAGACGGAGCTCTTCAGCTAGGAGCCGCCTTCAGCTAGGAGCCGCCGCCGCCACTACCACCATTGAGAGTTAGTTTGGTGTCGTGGTTAAGCGCGTGGACTCTAATCTGGGAGAACCGGGTTTGATTCCCCACTCCTCCACTTGCACCTGGCTGGATGGCCTTGGGCAAGCCATAGCTCTGATAAGAACTGTCCTTGAAAAAGAGCCGTTTCTGTCACGAGCTCTCTCGGCCCTACTTACCCCACAGGGTGTCTGTTGTGGGGAGGGGAAGGGAAAGGAGGTTGTAAGGTGCTCTGAGACTCCAAGTGAAGGGCGGGGTATAAATCCAATCTCTTCTCTTCTTCTTCTTTTACCTCACAGGGTGTCTGTTGTGGGGAGGGGAAGGGAAAGGAGTCTGTAAGCCGCTCCGAGACTTCTTTGGGTAGTGCAGGGCGGGGTATAAATCCAATCTCTTCTTCTTTTACCTCACAGGGTGTCTGTTGTGGGGAGGGGAAGGGAAAGGAGTTTGTCAGCCCCTCTGAGACTCCTCTGGGTAGTGAAGGGCGGGGTATAAATCCAATCTGTTCTTCTTTTACCTCACAGGGTGTCTGTTGTGGGGAGGGGAAGGGAAAGGAGTTTGTAAGCCGCTCTGAGACTCCTTCGGGTAGTGAAGGGCGGGGGATAAATCCAATCTCCTTCCTCCTTATTACCACCACCTTAACACCAACAAAAGTCTGGTGTCCGGTCTATCCCTGACAGCCTGCGCTCGCCGGCCGTATTTAGGAAAGACCAGTGTGCTGTACAGCAAGTTAATTTACAGAATGTATAATGCCATCTCTATGATGTTATAATACTATAACTGCTAGCACTTTAATATTAATGTAATATCATTTTAGTGGATTGTTTTAAATGTCTATGATATTTATTGTTATTACGCTTTTATTGTGTAGGCCACCCTGAGCCTCCTTCGGCGGGGAGGGTGGGGGTACAAATTGGAATAAATAAATACATAATGTTCATAATGCAAATTGCCTATACTAGACAACGTTCATCCTTGTCTGAAGTGCATTTCATAAGTATCAGCCAAGCCAGTAGATAATGCTATGAATACACAATACGAAATCTTGCTGCAGATATTCTCGACACTCTTTTGGCTCCGCTCCCGGAGTGTTTACCCTTTAAGGCATCCTGACGGAGGCGTGAAGCGGACAAAGCAGACGGAACAGTCTTCGTTTTTCAAGTTCCTAAACAATATTGATCACTTCTTCGTTTGAAAACATGTGGACCCAAGGAATGCGAGAGATAAAGAGAACACGCTTTCCTAGGATTAAACAGCGGTTTTGTGTATCTTTTGCAACTCTCTCTCTCTCTCTCTGTTGGTGTTTGTCACCAATCTCTTGACGGAGCACCGCAGGAATAAGAATAATATGGATCAACGCAACCTCTCTCTAATGTCTTCCCAAAGCTCTCCGTTGTGAGTCAGTTTGGTGTAGTGGTTCAGTGCGCGGACTGTAAACTGGGAGAACCGGGGTTGATTCCCCACTCCTCCACTCGCAGCTGCTGGATGACCTTGGGCAAGCCATAGTTCTGTCAGAGCTGTTCTTGAAAGAGCAGTTTCTCTCAGAGCTCTCTCAGCCTCACCTACCTCACAAGGGCGTCTGTTGTGGGGAGGGAAAGGGAAAGGAGTCTGTAAGCTGCTCTGAGACTCCTTTGGGTAGTGAAGGGCGGGGTATAAATCCAATCTCTTCTTCTATTTCACACATGGATGAATGTTGTCTAGTATAGGAAATGTGCATTATAAACATCATTAAAAATATAAGTGTGTTAAAGTTATAGAAGAGTGGTTTCCTTCGGTGAGCTCATTTTTTTCCTATTGTATTCACACCGAAGCCTGTCTTGTCTTTGAGACATTGGCCCCTGGTTTCCAGCCATGGGAGCTCTTGGGAATTGAATGCTCTTGTCCAAAAATGGTGCTGGGTGGAGGAAGGAATGTGCGTATTCCTAAAATAATCCCAGTTGTTTAGAAGCACTGAGTGTTGCAGTTGGCCAATGACTCCGCCCACGTCACCCGGAGCCGAGAAATTGAGTTTCCCGGGTTTGTGGCTCCAGTTATTTTGGGCAAGGCTGCACGTCCCTTTGGAAGAGAAGCGAACGGCCAGTCATGTTGGAGGGGCAAGACTGCTTTGTAGGGAACGTCCAAGATGGTGGATCTGCCTAATCCGCACAAAGCAGGAATCCCCAGCCTTTCTGAGTTTGGCATCGTGGTCAGGAGTGCGGACTCTAATCTGGGAGAACCGGGTTTGATTCCCCCACTCCTCCACATGCAGCTGCTGGTGTGGCCTTGGGTCAGTCACAAGTTCTCCCAGAGCTGTTCTCTCAGGAGCAGTCCTCGAAAGAGCTCTCTCAGCCCCACCTGCCTCACAGGGTGTCTGTTGTGGGGAGGGGAAGGGAAAGGAGACTGTTCCTTCAAGTCGTGAACGGCGGGGTATAAGTCCAATCTCTTCTTCTTCTTGAGCCTGTGAGGGCCTGTGGACTTCGGACACAGGGCGGTGGGTGCAAGCACAAAAATGGCCGCCACGGAAGGCGGAGCCGCCCACAAAATGTCTGGAAGTGACGTCATGCATAGAACACATAGTATCACTTCAGCATTTCAGGCGGAAGCTCCACTTAATAGGGCGCCCTTGAAAACAAACAGTATTTAAGAATATCTTCTCGCACGCGCACCACTTCAGTCACACCGCCAAGACTGTTGTTCTGTGTGGTAGCAGTGGCTGCCGAAAAGAATGTAGTTTTTAAAGAAATCTATGTAGATCAGCGGGAGCTCTGTCGGACCAAAGCCTCACCCATTTCCTAGAAACACTTGGTGGGCGCCAGCAGATGTGTCAGCAGGCACCATGTTGGGGACCCCTGCTGCAGGGGGCAGGATCTCGCACAAGAATGTGTTCGAAGGAAGGGGACCTGGAGCTGTAGCCAGAAAGCCTTCAAGCCCCCACACCCCCCCACACAAAGATTTGGGTTTTCTTCCAGGGGTCTTTTTGTAGCAGGTACTCATTGTATCCAGCCATGGGAGCTCTTGGGAATTGAATGCTCTTGTCCAAAAATGGTGCTGGGTGGAGGAAGGAATGTGCGTATTCCTAAAATAATCCCAGTTGTTTAGAAGCACTGAGTGTTGCAGTTGGCCAATGACTCCGCCCACGTCACCCGGAGCCGAGAAATTGAGTTTCCCGGGTTTGTGGCTCCAGTTATTTTGGGCAAGGCTGCACGTCCCTTTGGAAGAGAAGCGAACGGCCAGTCATGTTGGAGGGGCAAGACTGCTTTGTAGGGAACGTCCAAGATGGTGGATCTGCCTAATCCGCACAAAGCAGGAATCCCCAGCCTTTCTGAGTTTGGCATCGTGGTCAGGAGTGCGGACTCTAATCTGGGAGAACCGGGTTTGATTCCCCCACTCCTCCACATGCAGCTGCTGGTGTGGCCTTGGGTCAGTCACAAGTTCTCCCAGAGCTGTTCTCTCAGGAGCAGTCCTCGAAAGAGCTCTCTCAGCCCCACCTGCCTCACAGGGTGTCTGTTGTGGGGAGGGGAAGGGAAAGGAGACTGTTCCTTCAAGTCGTGAACGGCGGGGTATAAGTCCAATCGGATCCGAACTCCTCCTCCTCCTCTTCCTCCGGACTCCTCCAGTGTCCCAAAGACGGTGATGCACTTCCTGGTGAACTACGTCAAGGACCACCTGCAGAGTGAGCTCGTGGGCCAGCTGTACAAGCCGCAGCTCCTGGACACGCTGCTGACGGAGTCCGAGGACATGGCCCAGCAGCGCAACGAAGCCGCCAACATGCTGAAGGTGACGGGCCGGGGGAGGGAGGGGCTTCCCGGTTGGGCCCCGGGCGCGGTCGGAGGGAGCCGATGCTCCCTCTCAGCTGTGGAGTCTGCTGGCGGGCTCTCCTTCTCCGGAGGTTTCCAAGCAGAGGCTCGATGGCCGAATGTAGTTTTTAAAGAAATCTGTGTAGCTCATCAGGAGCTCTGTCGGACCAAAGCCTCACCTGGAGCTGTAGCCAGAAAGCATTCAAGCCCCCACACACCCCCACACAAAGATTTGGCTCTTTTTGTAGCAGGTACTCATTTGCATATTAGGCCACACACCCCTAATGTAGCCAATCCTCCAAGAGCTTATAGTAGCTCCTGTAAGAAGAGCTCT